TACTACCCTAATAGGGTTAAAGGTGCCGATTTTAGTGGCTAGTTCTTATAGATCTAGACCCTGTTATAGGCTTCGATTTAAGGCCTTTTACGGCGGCTCGGAGGGGTCGGGTAAAGGGGCATCGATAGCCCTAAAGGCCTTAGAAGGCACCTATTTAATAATAAGCTTAAACTAGTCGCCTATAGGCTAGAGGGGCTAGAGGTGGAGGTTTAGCTCTTTAAACCACTATTTCTACGAGTCTAGGAGCTATTAAACGCTATATTTCGGCCTAGGGGCTAACATAAGGTTCCCGTTAGTCGACCGGCTAATAGCCGTAACTATAGGAAGTTTTAGGGCCTTATTAAGCTTATTCCAAAGCGCGAGGAGGTCGAAGTTTTCTCTAGGAATCGCTGCCCCTGCCGTAGGTTAAAGGACAACCTTAGGGACCCTTTTAGGGTCTATAGGGGGGGTGCTAGGGCCTCTAAAATAGGGGCCTAGGATACTATAGGGCCTTTTTTCCCCTTTATAGCCTCGCTATAAAGGGGTTTAGCCTATTCTATAAGCCTACGAACTGCGTAGGCTAGTTTGTCGACCTTCTATTCAAGTATAGGAGGCTAGGGGGCTTCTAGAACTCCGTCGATAGCAGATTTAAGCCCTACGGATAGGGCCTTAATCTGGGAGGCAGAGTTAAGGGTATAGGCCTGTTAAAGTAGCTAGAGAGCCTATTAGTGTAGTTCCTTAGCGTATGCCTTACTAGCCGAACTAGTCGACTTCTGGGGCTTAGCTGAGGCTTCTCTAGGGGCTTTAGCTATTCTAGGCGTCTTTTTAGCCTTTTTAGAGCCTAAAAGGCTCGGTCTTTTAGCAGAGGGGGGCCTAGAAGGAGGGGGCCCCTAGTAGGCGTTTCGAAAGCGCCTTCGGCTTCCGAGTCCGAGGGGGATTCGATTCGGGTCCTAGAAAAACGTCTAGGAGTAGGTGTAGAAGGGCTAAGGTGTCTTTTCGAATTTAGAGACGTAGTAAGTGTTAAATCCTCTATATTAAAGGTATTACCTATATTAACCTCCCCTAGGCCCTTTATAGCTATAGGGGCGTTAGGGCCGTTAGGGCCGTTCGGAGCATTAGAGGCGTTATTATAGCTAGCATTATAGCTAATAGACTGTTATTTATAGCGTTATGGTTAGGTCGAGGTCGGGGGTGCGGCTCTACGCGGCTAGGCCTGCTACTTTGTTAGCGTGGACGCACGGGCTACGTTAGACTTTTCCCCCGCACGCGGGGGAGCTGCAGACCCGTTTTCAGGCATTTTCGCAATTATAATACACCTAAACTAGCGCCTGCGCGATATAAGGCTATGGATAGGCGTATAGAGCTTGAAAAGAGCTATCGATTAATATAGGTTTTGAGTGGTTTAGGTCGTTTACGCGTAAAACGTAGGTCCCCCCACGTGAGTTATAAGAAGGATGATAAGAGTAGTTAAGTATTCGTAATACGCTTATTTAGAGGAACTAGCGCCTAGCGTGCTAATAAGTAAGATACGGTTATAACGTTAATAACCAAATCAGAGCTATTAGCGTTAGTATAAGGTATAAAAGAAGATATCTTTATATTAGGGCTATTATATAGTATAGGAGTAGAATGTAAAATCCGGAATTAAGGACCCTATACGATAATAACTAAACGATTCGGTTAGTTAATAAAGAGATTAGCATATTAATAATACGCCTTCGCTATATCGATATCCACGGTTACTAGTTACGTTAAGTAAAGGAATAAGGGTAAATACTTATAATATACGTTATAAGCGCGGAAATAATAGTAGACGGGCTAATAAAGGCGTTATACGGCAAGAAATGTAAGAAATTTAGGTCTTATATAGACGTGATAGATATACGGGAACGGCTATAATAAAAAGGCGGCACTTATTCCGACTAGGGCACTTATTTATTCCGACTAGGGTACTATTATCAGCAGCCGACGCCAGCCGCCACGGTCGCGATCTTTCCCTTTATAGTAGGTTTAATCCGTTTAATCCGTATAACCACTATCGTATTTTTTATCTTCCTAATTATCTAACTATCTTTAACGCCTAATAACGTTAAAATAGCGCTTTTACCGCCGTACTCTTTTAACCTTAGGTATAAGGATATTAACGAGCTGCTTACGCACGCTAATAAATAGGCGCGCGATAACGGCTACGCGATTATAATTCGACTGTTAACTAACATAGCTAAAGATAGTATATATCGTCGCTACGACCTTTACTATGATTATAGAGGCTCTATACGCCCTTTAGTTACTATAGGCGCGAGGCCTAATATAATATTAAAAAAGACTATCTATCCTTTCTCGATTAAAGCTAATTAAATTAACGATTATTAGTTCGTTATAAGTATAAACCCTAATCACGACTATAAGGTAAGCCTTAATATCTCGGTCTATCCTATCTATCGTAAGAGAAATTAGACTAATAAATAAAGGGATAAGATTTACTAATAGTTCCGTATAACCCTATTATCGGCTTATACGATTACCTCCTTTATACGCGAAAAGTATCTAGACTAGGTTAGTATTTAATCCTCGCGACTCTTACCTATCTAATATATTATTTCCTACTAAGTTTAGCTAAGAAGCGATATCGTTAGTAAGATCTTAAAGGCACGCGAGGAGTTACTCGGTGGCTATACGCCTATATAAGCCTTAATCCGCGAATTCAAGACGCGTGGAATTAAGTATAACTACTAATAGCTTAGGAGCGTTATCACTTCGATTATCTAGACTTATCTATAGTGCGAGCGGATATGGAAGCTTAATCCTAAGGTTATAATTAGCGATAATATATAAAAGACTAATCGGTTTAAGATACCCTTTATTAATATCTACAGAATTAGTAATATCTAGACTACCTTTAATATTACTTTTTGCCTCGTGAATAAAGAAGATTAGGAGGCGTACGAATAGGTTCTTTAACGCTTAGATAAATATTATATCCGCCTTATTATCCAGCGCCGTCTTATAATTATATTACACTTCGATAAGGTATTTAAAAACACTATAGCTATAGTATTCGATAATACCTTATAGTAGATTTACGTATAGTATATAAATAAAAATATGTAAAGTAAGATAAAGGATAAATAGGTATAGTAAGGCGACGATACCGATGAATAACGCAAGGCGTTTAAAGTATCTAAATCTATAACGCCTCTTTTTAGTAAACTAATAATACCGGAATTTCCTTTTAATACTACCTTTCCCGATTATAGTACGATACCGTATAATCCTCGTAGCTTTATAATAGTCTAGACGGCTATTATATACGTCAAATCGGAAGAGGATTATAAGGCCGCCTAGCTATTTATACTTAAAGAGTTCGCTAACTAGGAGGCCGTTATTTAATATATCCTTAAGACTTAGATACCGTAGCGGAAATAGTTCGTTACTTATTAGACCTCGTAGCTTCGGAACTTTAGTATACGCGTTATATTACGCGTGGAGGTAAGCTATAAAGAGATTACGAGCTATCTATTTAACTCTATTACCGACCTTAAATTCCTAGCTAAACGCGTAGAAGAGATAGTAAAGAATCGTTAAGTTAAATATAAGGCGAGTAAGGCTATTCAGGCTTTATATTGGATCTAAGATTATTATACGCGCTTATAGATAGGAGATATAAGAACGTGATATAGTAGGCCCGCCTTAGTATTACTTCTAGGCTAATATCGTGTAGCTATCGGTATTAAGAAGGGTAACCTATTATTAATATATTATACTAATACGTTTAAAACGTAGTTTAGCGTACCCTGCTTATATATAATCCTCGTAAAAGAGTAAAAGACTAAACCGTAACCGTTTATATATCTTAAGCTTTATCTATACTAGTACCTTAATCGCGATCTTCTTATAGAAGATAGATTATATTATATACTTAATTCTATTATAGTTTTATCTAGCCGTGGCCGCTCGCGTATTACGGCTAAAGATATCCTAGTTACCTTAATCCCTCGTAGGAGTAATAGGCGCTAATAAGACGTAGTAACGCGTGCCCGCGATTTATCGGAATAGGAACTCGAAGAAAAGAGGGCACGCTAGCGGCAGGCAGAGGTTACTGCCCGTTTTTTAGAATAATAATAATAATAACAATAATAATAATAATAAGGTAGCGGTCGTGGTTATCCTTATAGTCAGGCTCGGGGTCGGGGCCGTGGATATCGTGGGGGTAGGGGTTAGGGTTAATCTAACCTAAATTTAGTAGGAGGCGACCTAATCCTACCTGGATCCTAGTCGGGAATAGATAAAGCTATCCGTTGGTTATAGAAAGAGCTAGGATAGCGTGCCTAATTATATTATAGGAAGATAGCTTAATTAACGATTATAACCAAGGGCAAAAAGACGATCTGAACGGATTAAACGGATTAAACCTACTATAAAGGGAAAGATCGCGACCGTGGCGGCTAGCGCCGGCTGCTGACAATATTACCCCAGTCGGAATAAACAAGTGCCCTAGTCGGAATAAGTGTCGCCTTAAAAATAGCTAAAGGAAGTCCGGATAGAGTATTTAGAGGACCTAGAGGATGAATTTAAGGGCGGCTATAGCGAAGAGATTATATAGGTTATATACCTGTTATATCTGCCGGTTACGAATAGCTTTAATCGCCTAGCTCATGTTTAGGGCGATTACAGGGTATATCAAATAGATTATAGTCTTTTCGATTATATAACGGGCCGGATTACTAAGATTATAATCCGGGTAAACGCTTATAGAATCTGCACTATATAAAATACGGAGGTAGTGGTTCCCTAACGGTCCGACATAGTTATAATTATATATAATTGCCTTAATCAATTTTAACCGTTTTTGTGACGATTTCGACTACGCTTTATCTGACATACCGTAATCATTGCAAATCCTCCTCCGTGGGTAATAATTATCGAGGGTACGCCAAGTGACCCGACCTTTGTCGGTGGTTGTTTATACCAGGTTTGCCCGGGAGGATGTTCTGGAACTTCAAGGATATATACTCGCCACTATGTCTCGCCGCCCGTTCACACTCGATGGCTACCGCAACGCTGTGGAACAGGTATGCCGGCTTGTGACTGAACCTTTGAAGCGCTTGAGAGACGACTGACGGACGTTATCTGAAATAATAGATGGTTCTATTGTCGTCTGACGCCGACTTCCTGGACCAGCTCATTCATGTGCTGAAAGATGCATTCGTCTCGAACCGGACCACCTCACTTGTGCGCATTCTGGCTCGATATGCAGAGGATCGCGAAGCGGACATTGAGCGGGTTGGCTTAACCAAGCATGAGGAGTTCCTCAGCTCAGTGGACCAGCTGCAGCAAGTAAGGGAAGGGACTGTATCCTTGACTACAGAAATTCTTCAACTCAATCAGTCTATTCAAGCTAGCACTGAAAGACTCGCCGACCAGAAACGGGGGTTAGTGAACACTCGTGCGGTTCGACGAAACATTGCCGACGCCTCTATTTCACTCAAAGAATCCCTAGAGATCCTGCATGCAGTAAACCATACCCACGAGCTCATCCGCAAGCAGAAATACTATGCTGCTCTGAAGTCCTTGGACGATCTCCAGAACGAGCACCTGGTGCCCATCATACAGAACAAGTACGCCACACAAAATCGGCTGGCCGATACCATTCATAAGTCCATCCCATCATTGCAAAAGGTCATCTCCGAAGCGGTCATGAATGACCTCAATACCTGGCTGTTTCGAATCCGTGAGACGTCGCAATTTCTCGGTGAAGTCGCGTTCTATCACACAGAGCTCAGGAGGGCCCGGCAGAGAGAACGTGTGGATAGGGACGGTTACTTGAATCGGTTCAGACTCAATTCCGCTGTTGAACTTGTTTTTGACGAGAGCGAAGAGTTCGACGCACTCGATAATGAAGAGCTCCAGGTCGACTTCACTCCACTTTTCGAGTGTCTACATATATACGATGCGCTTGGGGAAATGGATAGATTCAGAGCCGAATATGCCACGACACGGCGACAACAGAAGGATCTGGTACTACCAAGCTCCATTAGCTTTGCAACCGACGATGAGACGTCACTTAGCAGCCTCCTAGAGAGTATTGCTGGGTTTGCCATCGTCGAGAAAGCCACAATGCAGCGGACACCTCAGCTCAGATCCGCTGTAGACGTAAGTGACGCGGAACTCCTGAATGGCGGCAAACCCTCACCTGACCACCGACGTATTCGTTAGGTTGATGAGCTCTGGGATTCGATGTGCCACACAGCGATAGCCCTTATTTCGAAAGCATTTAACGACGTGACCAATGCCGAAACGCTCTTGAGGGTCAAAGGTGTCATTTCTCTCTTCATTCAGACCATGGAGGTCTGGTGCCCCTGGCTCTACACTCCTTTGCCCGGCCCATCCTGACGTACTTTTCAACAGGGCTGGGGTTATTCAATTTCTATTATTGACAACTTCCTTCTCGTGTTATTCGATAAATATGCAGAACTACTAAAGCGTAGTTTCAGCGAAGACTTTCAGAATGTATGGTTGAACTGGTATGGGAACAAGTTTCTGACTCGTGCTAATCATGGTAGATTGTCTCCACGGATGACTACATGCCCATGGCCGTCAACACCCGTGAAGAATACGAGAAAGTGCTGAACGTTAGCTGGTTCTCGCAAGATAACAGGGAGCTGAGGTTTGTGTACCCGCAGTAGTTGCGAGGCGTGGTGGCTGGCCTGGCGCCAATAACTGACACTTTCTAGTTTCCCGTGCGTTCTGCCCTTCTCTCAGATGTATCCGCTCTGTTGCATTGACATCCGGAACTTTCTGAATCAATTTTACTTCTTCTCCGATGATCATTTTCGACATACAGCCGTCATTGACGAGACCCTGCAAAACGTGTGACTGCTCCATACCCCCTAAACCTGCCGTACACTAATCGATATTCTGATTTCTCTAGTCCTTAGACGAGCTGTTGACAGATAAAGTTTGCAAGTCATTGGTTGAGAGGTTGAATTCCCAGTACCTGGGCCAGATTGTGCAGATTCTTATCAACCTGGAACATTTCGAGACCGCATGCCGGGAGCTGGAGCAACTATTGATCAGAGCAAGGTCCTCAAGCTCTGCAGGCGGACCCGTGTCCCTGACGGCCACGGGGCAATTCCGCTACCACAAGAAGACTGCCGAAAAGCGGATCTTCGAGCTCGTGAATTCCAAGATTGACGACCTTGTAGACACAGCAGAGTATGACTGGTGAGTTGTGACTTTGGATATCACACCTCCAGCCTGTGTGCTTATTGTTGTCGCTCAGGATGACCACAAGTGTTACCACTGGACCCAGCAGTTATGTGCAGACACTCACACGATACCTTTCCAACATTATGAATTCAACCTTGCTGGGTCTCCCACGAGAGATTAAAGAGCTCATCTACTTCGACGCTCTAAGTCACGCTGCCAATAAAATTCTCGTCTGTGCCCATCATGCACCGGCTGTTCCTGCTCGTTTGCTTACATGTCTTACAGGCTTTGCCGCTATCATCCGACGTTAAGTGCATCAACGGGAATGCTGTGGCGGCATTGGCTGAAGATGTTCGATATCTCACTGAGTTTGTTGACAGCCTGGAGAATGGAGCTATGCTAAGGGAGAATCTCGACGAACTTCAACAAACGGTCAACTTGCTTCAGTCCGAGAACCATGAGGAGTTTTTCGACATCACGATTCGCAACAAAAAATTCGGGCGAGTTGATGCTATTAACGGACCGATGCTTCTCGAAAAGTACGTACATTTCTTGGCACGTCCTTCCTTCATAACGAACCTTTGGAGGAAGCTGACCGAAGTGATAGATTAACGTCACAAGCTCCATCGACAAACCGGGCGGCACCACTTTCCAATTTCTCGTCTCGGTTTGGAATGATGAAATGATTTCAAAAGCCGAACGCCAATCCACTAACGATGGCGTCGATGACCTATAGTATCCGGACATTACTATGGTTCGCTCGTAACGGTGGCACCTTGTTGACCAGGCTCGACTACCACTGATTCCATATCACATTCAACGCCATGACGCCACATTCCTGGCTTCCCCAACCCCCCCGTTCTCCTTTTCCGGGTCCCCGGATTCCCGTATGATTAAGCAGCTTATTTCCGGGTTTCGTTTAAAGATCAGTCGCTGTGAGATACCAGACCTTTGGGCATCCCCGATGAGAGACCTGCCCAACTCTTTAACTTATTCAAACTCCTCCGAGGACATCGGAGCCTAACATGTTTTCTTGTTAGAGAACTGAAAAGACCCGGTGGAGACTCACTTTTGTACTGGAAGCTTACCTGTTGAGTTTGCATGGCCCCATAGCCATACATGCCCTCAATCTCACCATACATGGGAGGCTGGGTCTGACCATAGGCGGATGGATTACCTTGCACTGGCCCTGGATACATATTTGGGCCCTGCCGGAAATCCTGATCGGATGTGATGGCATGGTTATTAAGTCCATAATCCGAAGGTGCCATGGCATGGGAGGACGGATGGCTAGACGGCTGAGGCACATGCTGACCAGGTAGTTGGGACCCAGCAGCAGTTGGGGGCAGGCCTGGCTGCGCAGAGGCTGTTTGCCCTCCCGACCGTTTGGTATGAGAGGATGCCTCTTCGCGCGGAACTATATCAATGAGGAAATCAAACATGTCCGACTTCGCTAAAGCCGATGCAATGTCAGATCGCTGCAATGTCCGTCGCTTGTTCTCCTCAGCGTGTATCCAGGCGCGCATAGTAAGCTCCGTGATGAAGATGTCGCAGCCCTTGGCAAAGAGAATGGGAGCTTCCGCAGATATCATTTTCACTTCTGGGTCTGCTTTCATAACCTTTTTGATTCTTGCAAGTGGTAGTTGGTGAAGCTTGTAGTCGTGCGTGTCGCTTTCTAGATGGTTGATTGTCTGCTGCCAGTACGTAGTGAGAATGTCCTTGTACTGGCCGGTCAATCCCTGGTGAACCTGTTCAAGGGTGCGTGGAAGCATGAGCATTACTAATGTTCGTAAACACGTAATTCAGGAACAACTACGTACATTCGCCCAGGGTCCAGTGTATAGTTCAGCCGGGGCAAAACCTTGCGCGGAGAGCTGGGACCATATTTTAGCCGGAAATGCTCACCTCCGCCCACGACGACGGGAACCAACCGCAGCGCTTGCTCCTATATGGTCTGCGATCAGAAAGAAACTCGGTATATCAAGGAGGAAGAGGGTTCAGTGAACTCACCATAGTGTCCTCCATGTCTGGTGTCGTAGGCCGGTTGTTGCGGCCTACCTTGTTGTTGTTGTTGTTCTTGTTGTTGCTGCTGCTGCTGCTGCTGCTGTTGTTGATGGTGACCTGGCACATTTGAGGCATCCATGGTGTCGAAATAGCTCGGCTATACTTAGTTCGATGTGGTAGGGTGAGTAGTGGAATGGCAAGGAGGACGGACCTGCTTGCCGTCTCAAGTTACGCGCCGTCTCTACAAATATAGGAGGGCCCTACTGGGGAGCTTAGACAGAATTTTTGTCGGGTTACAGTATATGGGAGGAAGTGGGGCGCTGCTATAAGCTCTAAGCGGATTAAGTATCCTACCTATTTTATATAAGGAGCAGGTAACTAGTAGGAATAATTAGATATCTGATAGGTAAAATATAGGGTATATATAGATATATTATTCTATATAAATAGATTATTTTTTATACTAGATAGAGATTTTAACTATAAAGATAGAAGTATTTTTATTATTATTATCTATTCTTCTTTATTATTATGTATTTTACTCCGCTATTTTATCTATTCTATAGAAGCCTAGTTAGGCTTTTTTTTAATATATATATATATAGCCCTAAAGCTATAGCACGAGTCTATTAAGGAGACTAAGCCTATAATAAGTATCTAGTTATTTATATAACCTGCGGGTTATTAGGTGTCTATAAAGGGGGGGCGGTGTTACCGGTTATATAAGCCGGGCCCCTTATCTTAATTAAATTAATAAATTCGTTTCCGAGTTATCTAATAAGGTCTGTGTCCGCTTTAAGGGATTCCTTCGCTCGGGTTATCCCGAGTTCGCTTACCTATATTAGGATATCGGCCATATATCCTTTATATCGGAGAGTAGCTATTACGTCTTCTATTATAAGTTATAGTTACTTTCGGGCTTTATTAGCGAGCTTTTAGTGGATTTCGCGATGGTTATACTGTTATAGTCAGGGCCCGGGGTTTACTAGGAGGCTGCCGGAGTCCTTTATTACTGCTACTATAGCTAAGAGGTTAGGGCTAGGGCGCTACCGCTATAGAGGGTAGGCGCTTAGGCCTTTTTCTTCCTGGCTATAATAGGAAATAATTTCTTAGGGGTCCTAAGATAGTGGGTGGTATTATAGGAGTCCTTCTAAGGCTCCTATAGGACTACGCTCCGTGCCTGCCTAGCTATACCTAGTGCTGCTGGGTAGAGCGGGGAGTTATCTATCTAATAATACCCGTTTTATCCGTTTTAGCCGCGGTACGCCGGTTTATACCGAGCCCGAAGGTTAGGGTGATTCCGGGGAGTAGGGCGGCTGTTAAGGTTTTTAGTGTATTAACCCTACCTGCACTAGTAATAGTAGGGGGACGGTGGTGAGTTAAAGGAAGGATGTCCTATCTTCCGTTAATAGATTTAAACGTCCGTTAAGGTCCCTAAATAGGGTAGTAGTTCTATAACCTTAATTAGGTGTATCCTCCTTCCTATAACTCACGTTAGCGGTCCTACTAGTATTAGTGTAGGTAGCGGCGCACCACTAAAAACCTTAATAGCCACCCTACTCCTAGGTGCTACCCTAGCCTTCGGGCTCGGTGCAAACCGCTATAACACGCCTAAAATCGGCGCGAAGGGTATTATTAGATAGCTAACTCCAGGCTCTACTAAGCGACACTAGGTACAGCTAGGCGGAGGCGGAGTATAACCTTATAGCAGCGTTAGAAGGACTCTGTATATAATACTACCCACCCTTTTAGGACCCCTAAGAATTTTTTTCCACTATAGCTAGGAAGAAGAAGGCCTAAGCGCCTACCCCCTATAGCGGTAGTGCCTTAGCCCTAACCCCCTAGCTATAGTAGTAATAAAGGACTACGGCAGCCTCCTAATAAGCCCCGGGCCCCGACTATAATAGTATAAATACCACGAATACTAAAAGCTTTGCTAATAGAGCCTAAAAGTAACTATAACTTATAATAGAAGACGCGATAGTATTACTCCGATATAAGGGATATATTATCGATATCCTAATTTAGGCCGTCGAATAGGGGATATCTTAGGCGAGGGAGTCCCCCGAAGCTAATATAGACCTCGCTAACTAGCTCGGTAACGAGTTTATTAATTTAATTAAGCTAAGGGGCCTGGTTTATATAACTGGTAACGCCGTCCCACGGACTAATTATAATAATAACCCCGTGGCTATAAAGCCTAGACCGACTAAACCTAGTAAGTCTACTAGAACCCTGACCGGCGTTACTCCCGCCGGTAGAGATAAGTAGGCCCCGCCGAAAAAGGGCGCTGCTACCCCCCCTTAACCCCCCGCCCCGGAGTAATAGAATTAGACTATTATTATAAAGGGGAAGAAGAAGGCGAAGGCTATAGACACGGAATAATCCGGGCCGCCTAAGACCTAAGCGAAGTAAGACTATAGGGTCTTTCTCCGCTTCCTAGACGATATACTACCTAGGCTTAAAGCTTAAGAGGCTTTAGCGATTATCCGATACGCTATCACGGATACTAAACAGATCGATAACTAGGATATTAACCTAATTAAATAAACCCGTACTAGAGTCGTGATAATGCCTCGGAACGCGGAAGTATAATAGAAGATCCTTAACGCGAGGGATAAGGTCGTCGCCGCGATATCCGTAATAGACTGTAGGGGCGCCGAGACTTAATATACCTATCTTATTCACGAGGTACTCGAAAGGATCGGGTATACCGAGGTCACGGAAAAAATAGTCGCGGACGAGGCCTAGAAGAGGACTAGCCTTAAACCGATACGTGTATAAAGATGTATATAACCGAGCCGTAATAGCCTAGCTAGCTAGGTAGTCTCTTTCTAGATATAACCGAAGAATCGGTTCCGCCTATTTAAGACCTTTATACTCTCTAGGTACCGGGAAAACCGATAACCGATTATATAATACGATAAATACTAGGGATATTACCCCCGATACGCGTGTAATAGTAAGGAGCGCTATATCATTTACGACTCCCCCGCGAAGGGGGAATATACCTATAAAGTATATTATATTAACTATCACGGACCCTACCCTACGAATAATCTAAAGTGCCCCGCCCGCCCGAAGCGGGTTAACGGCGGGGTGGTTACGCCGTTAAAGACTAAGCTTAGTAGGCTCCGCACGGAGGGTAACGCCTAATAAGTAAAGCTATAAGCTACGATAAAGGCTACCGCCGATACCGCTATAGCCGCTATTATAGCCGCTACTACCACGGATACTAGCGATAGTAAGACTTAGAATAGTATATCTAAAATAAAGGTGGATAGCCTATCCTCGGAAGAGGAGGATACCCTGGAAATTACCCGTACCCCCTAAGATAATACCCTAAATAACTTATCCGTTATAGCGCCGCCCCCTTAAATACCTGGAAAGAGGAAGACGGACGATAGGGAGGACTAGATACTACCCGCCGCAATAAGTAAAAAACCTAATATAATATAAGCGTGGCTAAGGAGGGAGATAACGGCCCTAAAGGATCCGTCGACGATAACTATATAGAATAAGGCTAATAAATCAGAGAACTAACCGGTGGAGAGGCTACCAGGGAGCTAAAATACCCCGGGCAGGACTTACTTATATTTAATAAGACGTGGATAAAAACCGTAACCTGCTAAAAGCTATATTAGTAATAGCGTAGGAGGCTAAGCTTAATATACTAATATACTAAGAGCCTTTAAAAGGAGAAGCCTAGATAAGGTCCTTACCTAACCTTCCGGGCTATAAGAAGTTCTCGTAAATACAGATATAGCCTAACCTAGGGGATAAGCCCAGGGTCGTTACCTACGTAAGAGCGGGTCTAAACGTATAATAGATAAAAGCCCCGGCTTTAAGATCCAGGGACCTTCTACTAATTAAGGTTAACGGAATACGCTTCCTGAATATCTATAAGGGCCTTACGAGTAAGTTAAATACCTAGAATTCGCTTATAACCTAGATACCGCCACTAAATATCACGATCGGGGGCGATTTTAACGCTAGATTCCGCTACTAGGAGCCGATAGTCTACTAAATAATAGGGAGAGAAGAAGAGATCGCCGATTAGATAAAAAGTTATAGCCTTACCCTATATAATAACCCCAGAGAGGCGATATATAGCCGAGGATGCTATTAGACTATTATAGACCTAGTATTCTTAACGGCCCTATATACTAATAGTAAAGTAGTTATAAAAGCCGGCGCGCCGGCCTACTATTACCCGCTATTAGGATAGATTGGCACCGCTTATATTAACACGGAGAATACCCTAACTAAACCCGCCCGATTTAGCCTCCTAGTTAAGGAAGAGAAACGGGTAGCGATTAGGAGAGAAGTATAGGAAAACCTATAGCTATTACCCTAACCGGCGGAATAAAAGGATTCGGACCCTACGCACCTAGACTAATAGACTTAGTAGCTAACTAATATTATCGTAAGCCTACTACACTATTTAGGTATACCGTTACGTGGTCTAGCGAGGAATGGATAACCGTGGTGGAACGATGAATACAGAACGGCTTATAGGGAGGCTATATACTACAGATATTATACCCTAGAGTATACCGTAGTATAGGAATCCTTCCGGAAAATTATATAACGGGTAAGCCAGGAGTACTAGAATAAACGGATCGGAAATATAAAGAACGCCGAGGAGCTATAAGGTGATCGGCTAGTATAAGTTAGGGGATAGGCTAACGCCCCCCCCCCCCGATTTTTTATAACGGTTTAGGCTACTTCGAGGATAAACAGAAGGGAGAGCTTCTACGCCAAACTAAATTAGCTAAACGGCTAAATATCGATAATCTAAAGGACCCTTAGAATTATCCGGTAGCCTAGTCACGAACTATCCCGGAGGATAGCCCGATCCTAAGGGATAAAACACGCTACTATACTATTAATATTACTATAACGGTACCCGGCGGCGATAACGTAAGTATCCCCCTCCTCCGGCTAGTATAGCCGGTAATCGAAGATAAGGTTACTAGGCTCTTCGAAGCCTATAGGAAAGCCGGATACTACCTATAACCCTTCCGAAAAGGAGACGTAGTCATAATCGATAAACCCGGTAAGGATACTAGCACTATTATAGGGTATAGGCCGATCTAGCTACTTAGCGTCCTCGGTAAGGGTCTTAAACGTATTATAGTAAAAAGAACCGCGTACCGCGTAATAGCCGCAGGTATCCTAAACCCCTAATATATTAGCGCGCTCCTAGGCCGATTAACGATCGACTTCGCCGCTATATTAACTTATAAAGTTAAATTAT